AGGCCCAATGCATGCGTGCTCGGTCTTGCTCGAAGTGCACCGCCATGCATAGGCTGCCTCTGTTTTCCTTTCTTTACTCCTCTGGAGGCTACCAAAACCTCAGGATTGCTTCTCTGGATACCGACGGCGGCTATCGGCTGGGGAGAATGCTCACCGGCAGTGGCATGTGATCACCGGCCATTGGTGAAGATATCGGCAGAGGGGAGATTGTCGGTCGGCACTTATCACTGCCGGTCGGCAGAAAGTTCCTGCAGAATCTGCAATTGACAGCAACAGAGGGCAAGGCAGAGCATGGCAATACAATTCAAGGGATATATGCACCGATCATGTCCCTTATCATGTTAATGACTCAAAGGGACATGCTCCTTGGTTCTCGGACCATCAATCGTGCATTTCCATGCATGATGGCCCAAGAGACCAAGTTATGCATTTCCATGTCAAATGCAATGCAAACAATCAAACCAATGGGGACTTAACCTCTATCATGGATAGTCAAGAGGCCAAGCATGCATGCCAATGCAATGCAACCTAAGCATGTTAACTAGGCATGCAATATGGCAATGCAAATGAGCATGCAAGAAATGCAAGGCATAGAGCAATGCGACTAACAAGTGTGCAAGGCTAATGCAGGCATTCAAGGATGTAAGCCAACATGTGACTTCATTCAATCATGTGATTTCAAACATGCAACAACTCGCCAATATGCTACAATATACAAGGAGAGCATGCAACAAACAAAGAGACGGACTTAAACATGATTTGGGCAGCTCTAATTAGGCCCAAAACAGTGGCCATAGTGCTACGAAATAAGGGCTAAATGACATGCAAATATGGTCTAATTCCTAAGGCCCACCAAAGAAGTATTGAACTACACTTAGTGCAACCACACATGGCATGAATTAAATGACTAAAAACAGAATTTTAGCATATTAAAACAAGGCCTAAAGATCACTTAGATGGCATCCAAATGACCTAAATTCAAAGGCATGCACAAATGCCAAAACATGGAGCATGCTACACAAACTTTCAAAGCATTAAAGAGGTGTCCAAGGCAAGCATACAAGCATGTCAAAGGGACTGAAATGATGCTACAAATGGTGCCAAACCAATAAAACAAAGTAAATAAAGCATGCTACATACTCACACACTTAAGGCCAACAAGCCAAAAAGCAAAGGGGCTAAACTAAACATGGAAAATGTGAATCTAAGGACCCAAGACAGACCTTAAGCATGTTAAAACATGACCAAAAGCTTCACAAAGCTAAGCCAAAATATGCAAGCATGGTGGTCCAAAGGCAAGATGCATTTCTAGGCAAAATAGAGGAATACAAAGCAAGTGTATGATGCACATGGGATCTCACCAAACCATCAAAAATTAGTGAATAAAACATGTGAAAATAGGCCCAAATAACCACTGATACGCAACCATGCCATGCAAAAATGATGAGTTACTTTAGAGTGCCATGCAAGGAGTTATTAAGCACATGCAAGATAGACATTCAATATGACCAAAACAACTCTGGAAATGGCTTATGGGAGTCCTAAAACCCACTGACAAATGCCTGAACCAAGCTCAAGAAGTGTGAAAATATAGGCCCCTTTGTAAGGCCAAAAAGGGCATCAAACAAGACAACAAGGAGAGGGGATGGCCCTCTCCTTCTTAGGACCTTAAACCACCATCCTCACCACTGAAATCCCTCAAGATTTCAGTGATGAGGAGGCCCAAACGAGATGGTCCCGAAACTCACCAAAAATAGCACAAAATGGGGCCAAACAAGGCCTAAGAGGGGGTAAACGACCCCAAACACAAAAGTGGTCTTAATGAAGTATCTTAAACACAAAAAAACAGAACGTTTTTATGTTATAGACAAAGCCCAAATCTGAAAGCAAGACAGGCTAAAATGGTGTGCAAAAACAGGGAATAAAGAGGGAAAATGGGTTACCTTTGTAGCCAAAAGGGGACAGCAGCCTCTAGACCCAAAAATGCAACCCTCAACCTCTGAAAATGGCCTCCAAGCTCCTTAGGTTGATGATGGAGGTGTTAGGCCAAGAGTTGTAGTTCAAATGGCCAAGAACTAGACCCTTTTGAACCCTCTAACCAACACAAATGTAACACCAAAGAGACCTTAAACAAGCATGTCAAGGACCTCAAAATAAGACTTTTTTCAGTTTATGCCATAGCTCAAAAATACTTTCAAGTATGGCTAAAAGATGGAGCAAAATAAAGCTTAAAAAGGGAAAAAGTGTGCTCACCCTTGTAGCTCAGCAAAACAGCTACTTCTCTGGACCAAAACCAGCTCCTTAAGCCCTCTCAAGACCTTCCAAGAACCTTAGGTTGATGGAGCAAAGGGGTCAAGCTTCTTAAGGAAGCTAAAGCAAAAAGGGTCAAGCTTCTTGAGGAAGCTAGAGCAAAGGGGTCAAGCTTCCTCAAGAAGCTAAGAAAGGCTCAAGCTTCTCTTAGAAGCTTGAAGCAAAGTGTCAAGCTTCTTGGAGAAGCTAAAAAAGGTCAAGCTTCTTGGAGAAGCTAAAAAGGGTCAAGCTTCTTGGAGAAGCTAAAAAGGTTCAAGCTTCCTCAAGAAGCTAAAAAAGGGTTCAAAAGGGTCAAGCCCCCCTCAAGAAAAGGTCTCGGCCAGGAAAAGTGGCCGGTTGATCAGAAACAGTGGCCGGCCGACCAAACACAATGTCGACCGACAATAAACTGTGCCGACCGGCAATATACATTGTCGATGGCAGCAAAAACCAGCCGGTGGCCTCTGGCCATGGCCGGTGGTGTGTGGGGATGCCTCACAAGGCATTCCCTGCCCCTCCAAGGCAAAATGCAAGTGTTTGGTGCAAAACCAGACATTGAACAGTCAAGTTCGGAGATCCTGAGGCAAGGCGCGTAGCCGAGACCTCCAGAAACTCAAGACAAACACGAACAAGGATGATCACCAAGTGTTCAAACGATGACGTCCAAGTCTTGAGGTCGGTCAAAAATGGGGTGTCTACAGTTGCCCCTCTTTGATAGAACTCGAGAGTCATAAAAATGACGGAAGTGAGTGTCAAAGCCCAGAGACGACCCATTTTTGACAAGGCCGAAGACTTAGACAAAAGCATACAAGCTACAAACAAAGATATGCGCCCGAAGGCAGGGGCAAAATGCAAGACAATGCACAAAGCCAAGCATAGCACATGATCATGCAAGAAACATAGGGACGTATCCCGATGTTTCGGAAATGTATAAGCATTGGAACGTATTCCAAATGCTCTTAACCAAAGGGGGAGAAACATAGGGACATATCCCGGTGTCTCGAAACGAATGAGAAACGTAGGGACATATCCCGGTGTTTCGGAAAAAGAGAAACATAGGGACGTATCCCGGTGTTTCGGAAAAAGAGAAAGAAACATAGGGACGTATCCCGAAGTTTCGGAAGGAGAGAGAAACATAGGGACGTATCCGGTGTTTCGGAAAAAAGAGAAGAAACATAGGGACGTATCCCGGAGTTTCAGAAGGAGAGAGAAACACATAGGGACGTATCCCGGGTTAGGGACGTATCCCAAGGATTAGGGACGTATCCCAAAGGTTAGGGACGTATCCCAAGGATTAGGGACGTATCCCAAAGATTAGGGATGCATCCCAAGGATTAGGGACGCATCCCAAGGATTAGGGACGTATCCCAGGGACTAGGGACGTATCCCAAAGATTAGGGACGTATCCCAGTGTTACGAAGAAGAAGGAGAAACATAGGGACGTGTCCCGGTGTTTCGACAAAGGAGAAGAAACATAGGGACGTATCCCGTTGTTTCGGAGAGGAGGAGAAACATAGGGACATATCCCGGTGTTTCAGAATGGAAGAAGAAACATAGGGACGTATCCCGTTGTTTCGGAAAGGAGGAGAAACATAGGGACATATCCCGTTGTTTCGGAATGGAAGAAGAAACATAGGGACGTATCCCGTTGTTTCTGAATGGAAAGAGAAACATAAGGACGTATCCTAGTGTTTCGGAGAGAAGGAAGAAACATAGGGACGTATCCCGTTGTTTCGGAATGGAAGGAGAAACATAGGGACGTATCCCGGTGCTTCGGAAAGGTAGGAGAAACATAGGGACGTATCCCGGTGTTTCGGAAAAGAAGGAGAAAGGGAAACGTAGGGACGTATCCCGGTGTTTCGAAAGAAGGGAGAAACATAGGGACGTATCCTGGTGTTTCGGAAGGAGAGAGAAACAGAAATATAGGGACGTATCCCGGTGTTTCAGAAAGGGATAAGAAACAAAAGGACGTATCCTAGTGTTTCCAAACAAAGGAGCACGCAAAACAATGCAATGCAGGTGCACAAGACAGTGCGATAAAATGCAATTTCTATGCAAGTATGGGGGCATTTTCTGTGCAACATTGAAAGCATATTCTATGCAGAAACATAACGATGCGCGGCACGCATGCAACCGAAGTGTATAAAAAAAGTTCACATTCTATGCAATGGAAGGGCATCAAACACGTACTCTGGTGCCTCCGATTTACCTTTCAGAGGACTTGGCAACACAACTCTGCTCGAAAAGGGGACACCTTGTATACATTGGCGAGAGATAACATTTGCTGCTGCTTGAATTGCCATTTTGACTTGAAGCAGGCTTAAGCTTGGAGTACAGGCACACTCATTCTTCGGAGCACTGACAAGGCCTAAAGAGGTACATCCGGAGTACAATCACGGCATGTGCTGAAGTCGAAACACACTAAGATGCTCTGATTTTCCCCCTCTTTGATAGAACTCGAGAGTCATAAAAATGACTGGAGTGAATGTCAAAGCCCAGAGACGACCCATTTTTGACAAGGCCGGAGACTTAGACAAACAGGTGAGATAAACAGAGACGTTCCCGCAGGCGTGCCCGCAGGCTGGGGGCAAGATGCAAAATGATATGCAGGAAGATTTTGATAATTGGACTTATACGCTATGCGAAGCCAGTTTG